TAAGGAACAAGAGATGGCCAAACTGAAGGAAATAAATAATATAGAAGGACACATGTTTAAATGGGAGAGTTACAGGCCACTAAACAAAACTATCCAGTGCCACAAGTGCTTAAATTTTGGCCATACCTCGTACACGTGCGACATGCGATATGAATGCATAAAATGCACGAACGTGCACCCACCGGGAGTGTGCACGAAGCCACCAACCGAGGATCCAAAATGCGTGAATTGCCAAGAAAACCACCCGGCTAACTATTCCAAATGCCCAGCTCTAATCAACTATAGAGCAAAAAGAGACAAAGATGCGCTTAAGAGAAACCCAGCATACAAGCCAGCACCAACACCTGCGCCGCTGACGAGGAGCTTCTCTTCAGCCTTACAACCCACCAGCGATGGCCGTAACAACAGATCTGCGTTTCCTGAACTCCCGGTACCGTCATCACCACGAACACAGCCGGCCTCCCAGTATCCATCGACGAAGATCCAGCCAACACCAGAACCGATCCGGCCAGCATCCTCACGAATCCGGCCTACCACCAGCCAGTCCGATCCAGACCTGAGTACACCGGAGGGACTATTTACTGTTATGGGCGAGATCAGGAAGTTATTCGCGGATCCTGAGGTGAGACAAATTTTCAGTGAGCTTTATAAACTGACAAAGACATTGAACACAAATATGACTTACAATGACAAATACACAACCATACTTAACTTTTTGACGGCATGCCCATAAATCACGCATGCGACATACACATAATGTACTTCAACTCCAACGGACTCAAAAACAACGTAGACGAACTGAAACAGACCATAACAAAATATGACTTGGACATTGTACTAATTAACGAGACACACTTGAAACCTACGGACAGACTTTACGTCAACAACTACAAAGTATACAGGAACGACAGACCGACAAACTCACGCGGATGGGGAGGCACTGCGATATTGATCAAGTCTAATATCAGACACGAGCAAGTGCCAAACCTGACAGCGGGCGGTTCTGAAATAACAACTATTAATGTATTCAAAAGAGGTCAAAAAGTGACTATAATATCGATTTACATCCCGGCAAGCGGACTGCAACTGACGGACCTACAAAACCTACTTGACTCAAATACACACGTCTTAATGCCAGGAGAGGAGAGGAGAAGACTTCAACGCGCAACATACATCCTGAAACTGCAACTACAACAACGCTAACGGAATCCGACTCTACGAATATCTGACGAACACAACACCACGGACGCACAACTACATTATCCTGACACGCCGACCAGATACGCCACCGTACAGACGCACCATCACAGCACGATCGACCTGGCCTTGACAAAAAATCTTCACATAACATCCGAACCCATAACTAGAACACTTTTCAACTCTGACCATAACCCTGTTTTTATGACCATCTCTGACAGACTCGACGTCGACCGTACTCCAGAACGCAACATTTTAGATTATTCGAGAGCCAACTGGCCACTTTTTAGAGACATTATCACAGACAATATACGACACACGATACCCATAGAGACCAATACAGACATAGAGGAGGCTGTGACACATCTGACACGGACGATCACGGACACCATCCAACACACAATACCGCTGCGACACGCAAATACATCCACATTTGACACACTACCCGAACAAATATTAGTTAAAATTAAATTAAAAAACAATATAAAGAAACTGTGGCAACGTACTGGTGACAGACTACTAAAGGAACACGTGAACAGACTGACAAAAATTATTCATAATGAGATACGTGAGCACCGGAACGACACTTGGACTAAAAAACTAGAAACCATCAACACTGACCCGCACAAAGTGTGGCAAACAGCCAAAAGGCTGACGAGGAAAACAACACCTATCCCGCCACTCAAACTACCTGACAACAACTACGCCACGACACCAGCAGACAAAGCAGAAATTTTGGCAACACACTTTGAAAACATACACAAACAAAACGCCGACATGTCCAATGCAGACTTAAGACGAGACGTACGCAATTCTATTCAAAATTTTACAGAACAATTTAATGACAAAGACCTACGATTAGACCCCGCCACAGTTTCAGAAATAAAATCGACAATCAGAAAACTACCGAACAGGAAAGCACCCGGACCGGACGGACTACAAAATATAATACTGAAACAACTACCAACGAACGCATACATACTAATCACACGACTGGTCAACCGTATAATGGCCAAAGGCCACTTTCCTGCTTCATGGAAAACATCAACCATATTTCCTATCCTGAAGCCGAGGAAACAGCCAGACTCTCCGCAAAATTACAGACCAATCGGCCTCCTTAATACAATGAGCAAAGTAACTGAAAAGATACTGCTCAAACGCATCAACAGACACATCAGACGAAACAAGATTATACAGCACTCTACGTTACATCCACTGACACAACTAATAGAAAACACTGTACTCAACTTCAATAGACGAAACCATACCGGATTGGTGTTGCTCGATTTCGAGAAAGCCTTCGACACCATCTGGATGGACGGACTAATACACAAATTCATAACCCTTAACTTTCCACCATACATCACTAAACTACTCCATTCTTACCTCGCAGACCGTAATTTCACAGTTCAAGTAGACAACACACCCTCGACGATTAAACTAGTGACGGCGGGAGTACCGCAGGGCTCGATCCTGGGACCGTCCTTGTTTAGCGTCTACATCCACGACATGCCCACTGACGCCGACACAACACTGCTGACATTTGCTGACGACACTGCCATTTACAGATCATCATGTTCACCTACGCTACTGACTACAAAAATTCAGAGACATATAGACTCCTGACCAATTACACGGAAAAATGGCAAATTAAGATCAATCCTTCTAAAACAGAAGCAATTTTCTTTACAAAAAGCCGTTGGTCCATTACACTTACTGACTTGACGAAACTAAAGGTAATGGGCCATGAAGCTGAGTGGTCCAAGGAAGTCAAATACCTTGGCGTAACCTTGGACTATAGACTCAGCTTCACAAAACACACGAATACTAAAATTGGACAGGCTTACGGGATGATGAATCTACTGAGACCTCTTTTGAACCACAACAGCCCGCTAAGCGTGAAGAACAAGCGGACACTTTACTTAACACTCATAAGACCGTTACTGACATACGCCGCTCCGGCATGGAACGCGACAACCAAGACCAACAGACGGAGACTACAAATAGCACAGAACAAAGCACTGAGACTGGTACTAGACAAATCAAGGGACCCACTGACGAGACACTACTATCCAACGAAATATTTACACGAACAGACGGACATACCGACCATACTAGAACACATCAAAAAGCTCACTGAGAATTTTTACCGAAAGTGTAGGGATCACGAAAACAGTACCATCCGCGCGTTAGGCCAGTACACATCAGAAATGATGTGGTACGGGAATTATGCCATGCCTAACTACCTGATCGAGCCCGCAGTAAATACATAAGTCATAAGACACTGTATGAAGGATTTTTTTTTAGGAGATTAAAACTCTTCTCCTTTTTTTTGTCCTTACGCAATAATGTATAAAATATTGTACATATATAAATATATAGACAACTAGCCGGCCCGACAGACTCCGTCCTGTCAAAAAAAATTGTAATGTGGCGGTGTTTTGTGCCTACCTTTTTCTATTCTTTGCAAAAAATTATCCTGAACAGAAACCGTCACCCTGGTAATAATTCGGTGTGAATTAAGAATAATTAAATAAAACACTATAAGCATTTAAAAGTAAGTAATTTTAATAATGTAAATCATAATTCAAAAATCAGTTCAATTTTCATTGTAGTGCTTTGTGATAAACGATTTTTTGTTTGATTACCTGGCGCATAGACAAACAAATCTGATGGTTTTCCAATACGGGAAAAAAACAACATACAATTTTTTCCATGTGAGAAACATGGGTTTTCTAAATTAATACCACAAACACTTAATGATACCATAGACGCACTGGAAACGCATTGGGATGCATGGTGCGAGAACATCTTCTGCTTTATACTATCCTTTGAATATAGTTGGTCGATATTTCGCAACATTATAATTGCCGATCCAACCTTTAATTGAAGATGTGAGGTGACAATCCTAGCAAATCCAGCGAGTTTAAAAACTCCGGTGGATCGTCTTGGTTAGTTGCCGAATCAACTGATTCGCCTGTAATTTGTTCTTGAATTTTGAAATTTAATTAATTACATCAATGTTTTTGGCTGCCAATATAGCTTGATTAAGAGAAAGATATTTCTATGTTTATATAAAAGTATTCAAAATTAGATTATCAAAAACTACACAAAATGTCATGACATAGATCATTGTTTTTTTACAAATTGCGTGCCTACTCGATTAAAGAAGAAAAGGGCTGTTTTTAGGGTTTCCCGGCAATTATTCGTTTTTTTTCTCACCGTAACAACCATCCTTGGACTTCAATGAACATTTTAAAAAAAGAATTGGCCAAATTGGTCCAGGCGTTGTTGAGTTATGCGCTTACCAACACATTTTGCGATCCATTTTTGTATATAAGATGTATTAAAACCATAAACTTTTGGGTAAAATACCCCTAGGGTAGACAAACCCACATGTATTCACTGTATTTTCCACTGTATATACTGAATAAATTTTTTCTGTCTGTCTGTCTGTCAATCGACCAAACGGAGACCTATTTTGAGGCTAAAGACAAAACATACTAAGAAATGGTATCTAAAAGTTGGAAAATCGATATAATGGGTGTATCAACCTCGAAGACGACTAATGTCTCAAAAAATGTGTTTTTTTACGGAACGAAACTTTCAGCCGTCGTGGTATGCGCGAAGGTAAATCCTAAATTGCAGGAACTATTTTGCAGATATATATTTAGTTAACATCACTATATCAAACATAAAATAAAGAATCATTTCTATGAAAAAATTAAATGTTATAAATTTTAGTAATTTACAAATAAAAGGCTCTCCAGAATATAATAGATGATATCAAATTTTTCACTTACCAGAAGTGTTCGTCCTTTAAGTGTTGCAACTCTAGGATCTGATACTCTTAGTAAAGGCAGAACTAGATCAGTAACTCGTAACCATGCTCTCCTGCTAAGAGGTGAGTGACTCGTCCCGAATCTGGATCGGCGGCCGAGAAGCGAGCGTGAACAGATACTGTGGTTTGCTGGTACCGAGCTCTGAAAAATTGAAATCAGATAATATTGCAATTTCTTATATACTCAGTTTATGCACTATAAATTAGTTATATTCGATGTTATAAAAAATTGTGAATAGACCTATATGATATTTATTTCACAAAACTTCTTCTTCTTGACCATGAAACTGTTCGATTCTCTCAAGCGATCAAATAAAATTCAATATAATGAAATATATTGCATTCATATTCAAGTTTGTTGATGCATTTATTATATAAAAGATCGAATTCAAATATATTTACTGCTAATTACAAAAAAAACGGGTTGGCCAATCATCGCTCGAAACTAATAAACACTAGTTCTCATCGAGTTCCATCGAATGGCTTTTATTAAAAAAAAATTCATCTATCCAATAACAGTTAACGAGCGCCATAGAAATACAGAGATATAGTTATATTTTATTATCACGATGACAACTCGTGGGTACATCAAAATTTAATAATTAAATAATTTAATTATAAAACTAGAATTAACTGGTGGTGCTTGGTATTGTGCCTTAAGGCAAATTGCTGAAAGTTCCCGTACCGTGCATTTTTTAAAAGCTTTACAATTTTATGAAAACGTTGAGAAAATTTGATTAAAAAGTTTTGAAATAGTTGAAAATTTTTATTTTTTTTTTTTGAAGCAATCGCACTGCGTAGCTATTCTAGAGACGAAATATCGAAGCGAGTAAGTGCTGCGTCCCAGTCTAACGGTTAAACATTATAAATCTTGGTACGAAATCCACAAAAATGTAAACAAAAAATGTACTTATTATTAAAAACTCTATAAAATTCAGCCATTTCTTTATTTTGTTATCACAAGTAATATGTTTTTTGGATCATTCAAATCGGACACCTCGTTCTCTCAGAAATTAAATTACCATTTATGGCACTTTACACCATATCTTAGAAACGACTGGACCTACCTTGCCCAAAAACTAATCGGACATCTCCCCATCAAGAGGAATCAAATGTTTTTCGAATCATTCTAATTGATGGATCCGTGTTTTCAAAACTGTCGACGAAAAATTGTATCCGATACACACATATATATATGCATACATACATACAAACACACATACATCAATTTTTTTCTAAAGTATAAAAAAAAATCAGAAGACTTTGAAACGTTAAAATAAACTAGTTGAAGGTGCATTTAGCCTTAAGGCAAGTTGCATGAACTTCCCGAAATGTGTAAATAATATACTTATTCAATCCGACTTTAGAATAAGCAATTATATTAAATATTGTCTTTCACAATATTTTTTTATTCTATAAGTTATTAAAAAATAAATATTAAATTAAAATAAAAGAAATGAAAAAGTTTTTAAAAAAGGACTCTTCTTATCGAGACATGTTGTATGCTTGGAAAAATTTTAACGAGTGAATGGTTTTTGTATGTATAGATAAGGAAACACGAAGAGCTGTTTCGTTATTGGTTGAAAGACTGAGATAAAGATATTAGTGGCGCTTTGGCCGGCGGAAAAATTACGAAGTAGGGACATGGAAAATATAAAGCTTGTGGATTTAAGCTGTAGTCAATAGTAGTAAACTATTAATTATAGGAAAACGTCTCGGTAGATTTTCACCTAAAATTAATCAGTATCATTCCCAACTAATATCTTTCGAACAGTTTTTGATTTTTTAAAATCGGTTCGGTAGTTTGAGGTTAAATGTGGACGAAAAGTTTAACACTTTTTTTTCAAATTACAAAGAAACGGCTCGACAGACCGTCTCACAAAACTGACAAACGATAGTCCTCATTAAGATACATCAAATGGCTTTTAATTTCTGAAATCGGTTCAGGCGTTTTTGAGAAAACGTCGATAAAAGATATAATTTTGGCAAATGCCAAAAAAATGATACTAGTTTTTGCCAACTTTTTGCCATGATATCTACCGTCAAGAAAAAAATCATAAAAATCGTCGTAAAAATTTTTTTTAACATTTTATTACAAGAAAACGGTCTGGCCGATCTCTACCAAAAACTAATCAGCACGATTCCCAACCAATATCTTTCGAACGGTTTTTGAATTTTCAAAATCTATTCAGAATTGCGGGCTTAAACGTGGACGAAAAATTTTTCACTTTTCTGCTATTTACGAAGAAACGGCTTGGCTGATCGTCGTGATAAACGCTAGTCCTCATCGCGATACATCGAATGGCGTTTAAATTTTTGAAATCGGTCCAGCCATTTTTGAGAAAACGTCGATTTACGGCAAAAAATCTGTTCACACATACACACACACATACTTTTTCCAAATTTGGTCTCATTCGATTCAGAATGGCTTGAAACGTCGAGAAAACATAAAATTAGCGAATCGAATTTTTTGATGAAAACATAAACTTCTCCTTCGGGAAGTTAATAAAAATATTCATTTTCAATTTTTTTTCTATTACTATAACTCACTCTAAATTTTATCTAATTAAAGTTGCTTCGGATTCTATCAAATAACATCTTCTCCAAAGAAAACAAATACACGTTTTAATTTACCCACCTGCACTGTGTTCTCTCCTGATGACCGTTTCCGTGAAGTCCGTTGTTCCAGGCGCTCGCTCCGCGTCCGTCCACATCCGATCCGAAAGAGTACGATCGTTTCCGGCGTCTTGCATTCCGGTACCTGCCGGAACCGGAACCCAAGGTTGATTTGATAGAAGGCGCGCTGTGAGAAAAATACAGACTGTGTTCCGGCGAAAAAATCAACGTTCGACGAATATATTTTCACAATAAAATCAATTCCGTGTTTTTGTTTTAAATTGGTAACATTAGTAATTAATATACAACAGTGTATTTGAATAGTTTTTGGTGACATTCAATCGATTTGTTTCAAAATTGAAGATTTTTGTATGTTTGTTGCGTGTTCATTGATGGGAGAGCGTATTGGCGTTCGAAGAAGGTGCATAACCAAGTTGGTAACATGAAAATAAAAGAGAAAGAAACACTAATATTAATATAAATTATATAACAATATAATAACTTATAAATTAAATATATTAAAATGTGCATATTGAAATAATAAAATTAAATCGTGTTAAAAGTTCAATTACTGAGTGTATAAAAATTTAGGCACCCGAGGATATTTTGTGGAAGAATATTAATGTTCACACACAAACCATATATATATATATATATATATATATATATATATATATATATATATATATATATATATATATAGTGAGTTCTTGAGGGCGATACATCAAACAAAGAAAAGCCAAAGATTTATAAAATAATCTTTATTTCCAAACGTTTCGACATTCAATTTAATGTCATCATCAGTGGATCTAAAAACAGTATGAAAATTAGTATATCTAGGTAATTATAATATATGTGGATTGGTAAAGTAACTATACAATAAGAGAAAAATTAACAAACAGCAACACTTAACAACAAACCAAATATAAAAGATAGAAAAGGTAGTAGAGACTAGAATTAAATAAATAATTAAAAAGTATAGGCAAAAATATTTAAGTACACTCATATAAACCTACGCATATATACATATATATACGTACACATATACACACATATATATATATATATATATATATACATGCATATATCCATATACACACACATGCAAACATATAATACACATATACATATACAGATACAACAATATATACCTATATATGTACACATATACATGTACGACTATACATATATAAATATACGTATATACATATATGCAACGTGCATGCATATTCACAACGACGTACATGAACATGTATGAAACATACATATACTCATACCTATCTATTATGTAACTATAGCTATACACGTATACACATATATATACGCATAAACATGTATATATACATATATACACACATACATATATACACATATATATACATATATATATACATATACATATATATATATATACACAATACATATATATACATATGTACATAAATGCTCACAAATATATATATATACTAGCTGACCCGACAGACGTTGTTCTGTACTCATGTCTACAATTTTTCAATTTTTTATACTAATATTTACTGCTTAGTTAAAAATAATAATTACTGTTTTTTGAATTACTATTTACACCAATATATGAGTGATGTTGAATGTAGAACTATTTCAAATAAAATGATTGTTCTCAATTCCCACAGTTAACACTTTAATTATTCATTTAACAAATATTAAAAAATGTTCAATAAAATTGTATATTAAAAATTATACACTGCGATTTATAGAACAAATTTATTTCCAATAGCTCAATTTATTTTATTGCATTTAAGGGTTATATAGTATTTTTAGTCATACCTGTAGATGTGGATGTATAAATGAATGATTTTTTGTTTATTCACGACTAAAACATCGATTTTCCAAATTTATCATACTAAAAATGATCGTCTGCCTTTGTGATTTATGTCACAGCATAAGATACATGTGTTGAAAATTGAAATCTTTTAAAACGTACAACAAATTCAGAAAGAATTAATATATAGCATTCGCGGCAAAAGTGCAATATCACCTTTTATTTTTCTACCCAAAAATATATGCTTCAATAATGTTGCCTATAATTTTTATAATTTCGTACCATATTTTAACTGGCTTTTAGTAATTTTAATATCTAAATTACATTTTTTTCTCCAATAAATCAATATACATTATTGCTTAAGTTTATATTTGAAGTTAATTAATTTGTCAAATCCTGTTCACATGTGCTCTATTCAACTTACAATCAACAAAATTATTGCTCTGTGAATTGTTTTACTTTGCTCCAATTTACTTGATATTTTGGAAATAGGCTAATCTTTATCTTAATTTCAATGTTTTTAACAATTTGCACTCCGTCACCATCCACAGCATTAATTGGATTATTACTCTTTTAATTCTGATTTTATCAGAACTTGTAATACACTATTTTAAGCTACAACTTTCTCTATCATTAATTTTACCGTAACTTCTCTTATTGTAAAACGGCGAAGGGTTAAAGGGCTCGAAAGACCTCTGGTTGGACAGCTCCTTAATTAATCATACATC